TTTTTTTTTCAAACCTACAGCCCTACAGTAACAGAATTGGTCCAAAATTGCGGCTCCCAACGGCATGAATTGTGTTGCCAACGGCTTGATTTCTGTTGAAAAACAGAAACAGACACTCTATAAATAATTAATGATGTAATGTTTATGTAATTGATAAATAATTAGATGTGTGATTTTGATATTGTGATGTAGGTTGGTGAGATTGAAGAAAATAAGCAAAAGTAGACAAATTTGGAGAAATGGCTAAATTGTAAGGGATCCAAAGTTCGGGGGCTAAAATGTAAATACTTAAAAGTTGTGCCGAATCTCATGATGAAGATTTGAGAGTGCTCGGAGTCAATTGGATAAAGGAAGATGTCAAGGGGATCAAATTTAGTCAAAAGATGATCACAAATCAATTTCCAACCGAAAAGTTATGCTCCGGTGTTTTAGTCTCATATTGAGAACTATTTTTGGCATAGGAAGTGATCGAATTGGAGAATGATGTCTGAATTAAAGTTGTAGCCAGATGAGTTAGCTTTCCAACGCATTTTGCATCGCCTCAATAGGATATCGGAATACAAAGTTATGATAAAAACACTGAATGAAGGTGCAGCTGCCTGTTTAAAACAAGAAATTCCGTTACATAGTCCGTTATATTGAGACATATTTTTGGCATAGAAAGTGATCGAATTGGAGAATGATGTCTGAATTAAAGTTGTAGTCAGATGAGTTAGCTTTCCAACGCATTTTGCATTGCCTCAATAGGATATCGGAATACAAAGTTATGATAAAAACACTGAAAGAAGGTGCAGCTGCCTGTTTAAAACAAGAAATTCCGTTACATAGTCCGTTATATTGAGACCTATTTTTGGCATATAAAGTGGTCGAATTGGAGAATGATGTCTGAACCAAAGTTGTAACCAAATGAGTTAGATTTCTAACGCATTTTGAATTGCCTCAATCGGATATCGGAATACAAAGATATGATAAAAACACTGAAAGAAGGTGCAGCTGCCTGTTTAAAACAAGAAATTCTGTTACATAATCCGTTATATTAAGACATATTTTTGGCATAGAAAGTGATCGAATTGAAGAATAATGTCTGAATCCAAGTTGTAGCTAGATGAGTTAGCTTTCTAACTCATTTTGAATCGCCTCAATCGAATATCAGAATACAAAGTTATAATAAAAATACTGAAAGAAGGTGCAGCTGCCTGTTCCAAACAAGAAATTTCGTTATATAGTTCATTATATTGAGACCTATTTTTGGCATAGAAAGTGATTGAATTGGAGAATGATGTCTGAATCAAAGTTGTAGCTAGATGAGTTATCTTTCTAACACATTTTGAATCCCCTCAATCGGATATCCAAATACGAAGTTATGATAAAAACACTGAAGGAAAGTGCAGCTGCATGTTTAAAACAAAAAATTCGGTTACATAGTCGGTTATATTGAGACATATTTTTGGCATAGAAAGTGATAGAATTGGAGAATGATGTCTGAATCAAAGTTGTAGTCAGATGGGTTAGTTTTCCAACGCATTTTGAATCGCCTCAATCGAATATCGGAATACAAAGTTATGATAAAAACACTGAAAGAAGGTGCAGCTGCCTGTTTAAAACAAGAAATTCCGTTACATAATCCGTTAAAACAACAAATTCCGTAGTCAGATGGGTTAGCTTTCCAACGCATTTTGAATCGCCTCAATCGAATATCGGAATACAAAGTTATGATAAAAACACTGAAAGAAGGTGCAGCTGCCTGTTTAAAACAAGAAATTCCGTTATATAATCCGTTAAAACAACAAATTCCGTTATATAGGCACTTTTTATATATAGAAAGATAATACCCTTTTTTAAGAAAAACTCAAAAACAATGTATTGTATAAAGATCATTGGTAATCTCTAATGGTTGGGTAGGATTACATTTTGAGCTTTTCCTTTTTTTATTGTTTTTTTTTTTCTTAATATAATTTTTCATTATTAAAAAGAGAGAAAATATAAAAAATTTATATTTCAAAATTTTGAGACCTTGCGTAAGTATGGCCCTTATGCGACTGTTCAGATGGCTTCATGGTTGAGACGACTCTAATTGCACGAGTATCTAGATAGATACATACTAAATAATCTAAATGTCACAATAATTATTAATTCAGAATATGAAAATACCCACTTTTATGGTCAAATACAGTTCGCTTAGTCTTGGCCTACTTTAGCCCTTGCTTGTCTCCATTTGAAATAAGATTCTTTAATTCTCACTCATTTTTAACCACAAATTCACATAATAAAATATTTTGCAAGTAAATTTAAAAAAAATTTTACTTTTTTTATGCATTTTCCAAAAAATTTACTATTCAAAAATTACTTTTTTTAATTATTACCGAAATTATAGAAGGGATTTAGTTTATTTGGAATAAATTTAGATAAAACATTCGCTTCATCAAACAAAAGTAGTGTAGTAATTATATTTTGAAGTATTTCTATCAGAATACAGAAGGCATAAACTATGAATATTTTTTTGTTGTGTACATACAACATGCAAGACACGTAAAGAAAATTTTAAAAGATATTAAACATTAAATATGTTATATTAATTCTAGAACAATGACAACAAAGTGGCTGTAGTTTAGTGGTAAGAATTCCACGTTGTGGCCGTGGAGACCTGGGCTCGAATCCCAGCAGCCACATTTTTTACATTTTTTTCCTCTCCTGCCCACCGGCCCACCCCTATCATCTACGGGTTAAATCCTTATACATTAGGCCCGGAAGCTGAAGCCCACTAGAATTACGGAATCACGACCCAAATAGCCATACTTAAATATCGTATTCGCATTGGATATCTCTCAACACCGTCATTTCCTTTGGAGTACGTTCGTACATATTTGTCATTTCCGTAAATCTTTGGAAATTAGATTTTTTTGTGTAATATGAAAATAAATTTACTTTTAAGCTAAAAAAATTTATATCAGCATATACGAACAAATTCAAAAAGGAATATTTTGATAACTAGAAAACCAATAAAATATTTACTTCAAAATTTTGCAGTCGATAAATTTATATGTACTAATCATAATTGAACATGCATTGCATTATTTTGAAATATATTATGAGTACTGTAAAAATAATATTTAATATCAATTTGTTAGGAGGAGTCAATGAATCTCAAATGAACTAAAAAAAAAAAGATAGAAATTTAAGATAAGAAATTTTTTTTGTAATTCAAATGATAATGGGTTTTGTTTTCAATTTTATGTCATTTATGAGATATGTTTGCTTTGATGATTTTATGTTTGAAAGTGATATTTATGGGATCATACTATCATAGGTGCTAAGGATCCAAACGTTCGGGACCTTTCTTCTATAGTTACAAAAGGTTGGGGACCACGTGCATTTTACTTAATAAAAGTTTGGGATTTTTGCTGCACCACGTGCAAAACGCAGATTCTTAACTTTTTTTTCTATTTTTTAATCACGCGTTCTTAAAAAAAAAAAATCACTTTTTATAAAATATATTTTCAAAAAATCTCTACAAAATCTGGGTTTAATGAGAAAAGATAAACAGAAGCTTGTAAGCAGACAAACAACAAATTGTTAAGGATCCAGTTGGAGACCAAAATCTGCTTTCTTTATTTTTTACTTTTTGGTACCCCACCCCTGGCAACTTCTACCTCCCTAGTCCTTCATCCCTTCTCCCCCGGGTACAGTTAGGGTTCCCGTATAATTTATGTAAGATTCAGGTGCAATTTCTTTTTTAATAAGAAATAACTTAGTCCTTGCTCGGTAAATATTAAAATCAGATTTTTAGTACATTTTGATAAAAATCGATGAAATTTATGGTTGAAAAATTGTGGATAATAAAATTAATTGTTAACTTTCACTTAAAATTTTAATCCAAACCAAACAAGGGATTAATAATAAAATATAACAATTTTTTTGGCAATTGTTCCTTGTGTAGCAAAGGGTAGTTCTTAAAGTCACCGTAGTCCTCTCAATTGTAATTTATTATTTTTATTTTTTTATGGTTTAAAAATTAAATTGTATTGAAATATATATTAAACATAATACTAAATTGGACATGAAAACTAGAAAAGTTAATTGATTTTTTTTTAAATAAAAAATGACTTTTTTATCGAGCAAGTTTTTTACACTAAGGCAGCGTTTGATAGCATGCATTTTACATGGAATTGGCTTTGTTGCAAAGGGGAGGGCGGTTAGGGCTCAGCGCGGTAGTGTGNCCCCAGGGCATATCTCCCAGTGGCAAAGGGGAGGGCGGTTAGGGCTCAGCGCGGTAGTGTGCAGAGTTCGATTCCCCGCAAGGTGGAATTGGCTTTGTTGCAAGCGGGAGTTACCATAGGGTTAAAAGTCCAAGGCCTATCCATAAACTCTCCACACTGGCTCCTGGGAGGCACATCCTGCGATTTACCTCCTCCACAATAATCCAGGGCAGGGTCGGTGGGAGGCCCTCAAGGTTGGGGTTCAACCTTTTTCATTTTACATGGAAAATCCATCATTGGCAGCATTTAATGTCCACCTTTTGCCATGGAAATTGTGAAAAAAAAATCCATTCACGCGCCTAATTCTTGGCGTGAAATGAAAAGATTTTCCCACATTACAATCAAACGAACCCTAACCAGAAAAAAGGTCAAAAATCAGCCGCACCCCTCTTCTCAAGCCACGTCACCTGAAATATTGACGAAATGGGCCCCTTTAAAATACTCATTGATTTCCAACATTGACCCCAGTGGACTTTTTAAAGACGATAAAATATTTTTCCCCCGTTAACGCTACTACTGTACATACTACACAAGACAACGCTATTCACACTCTCCAAACCCTAACTAACTACAAAGTTCTGCTCCATTTCCGTATCACTCGAGTTAAATACCGGCGAAACTGGAAATTTCCATTAAAGAATTGCAGGTGATTATATAATTTTTCGAAAGAATTTTTTTTAAATCTAAATATTGCTGGTGATTTTATTTCTGTTGGTAATATTTAGAATTGCGTGATTGCCGGAGATGGCTTCAGCATGCGTGAACAACATAGGAATGTCACCGGAGAGTTTTCTGGACTGTCCTCCTTCGAAATATCCCTCGTACGGGTGGCTGAGCTCGAGAATCTCTTTCAGCCGTGAGTTTGTCGATGAGGAGGAGGTAAAAGCTGGGGTAGTTAAGCCTTCAGCTAAAACTGAAGCCAAATCGGATAATGCAGTTGTGGAGAAGTCGGAAAAATCAGATCCAGAAGTATCCGGTGAAACTTTTGTCGATTTTGAGTTCCGGCTGGAAGATCCAGTTACAATGCTCCCTGCCGACGAGTTGTTCTCCGACGGAAAGCTCATGCCATTACAGATTTCTTCCATTCAGAAATCAATGAGATCAGCGCCGATGACATCTGCGGTCACATCTCCGGACACGCCAAAACTGCGCATTAGAACGGAGATTTCTCTTACAGATCCTTACTTATTTTCTCCCAAGGCTCCCAGGTGTTCGAGCCGCTGGAAAGAGCTTCTAGGCCTGAAAAAGCTCTACCAGAACAGCAATGCAAAGCCAGAAGATCAAAAGCCGGCCTCAGCATCCAATAGTAAAAATGCCGCCAAAAGCTTAAAGCACTTTCTCCACCGCAGCTCAAAATCATCAGTAAATGCATCCATTGATTCATCCTTAAGCTTCCCATTATTGAAGGACACGGACAATGAGTCGGTCTCAATTTCCTCTCGGCTTTCGCTTTCGTCCTCTTCTTCAGGACATGAGCACGATGATCTCCCAAGGCTCTCTCTCGATTCCGACGAGCCGAGTACAGTTACTCGTAGCTCTAACCGGAATACCAACACTCTTTCCCGAGTTCGAGTTGTTAGACCCAGGGCATTATCGCCAGAGAATCCAAATACGGCGACCCGAGTGGTGCGTAGCCCGATGCAAAAAGCACCGGAGCCTATTGCACAAGCGTGTGGAGTTTCAGCAGATAGTCCTCGCATGAATTCCTCTGGTAAAGTCGTGTTTAATAACTTGGAGAGAAGTTCCAGTAGTCCCAGCAGTTTCAACGGTGGCCCCAGATATAAACATCGAGGAATGGAGAGGTCTTATTCAGCTAATGTTCGCGTTACACCGGTTCTGAATGTTCCGGTTTGTTCACTTCGAGTCTCGTCCAAATCTGGTGTTTTTGGCCTATTTTCCTCTCAACAGAAGAAAGATAGCGGCGGCGGCAGCAGCAATAGTGGTGGCATCAGAGGACAGCAAAATAATAGCAAAGAACCGCACGGATTGAACTCAAGAGATGGAAAGCATGTTTTGCGGTAACACTCACTTTTTTCTTTTCCTTTTAATGTTGAAGCTATGAGTTTTTGACAGTGATCAATGAGTTCCATTTGCTGTTTTACCTTGAAAAATTTTAGACTGCTTTGTACATAAATGAGGGATTGGTAATCTCTTTCTTTTTCTTTAATTTGTGCTAACTCAAATGCAGAAACTTAATGCTAGATTTTCTCCAATGTAATGAGTCATTAAGCAATTTCCCTTTTTCATCGTCTTCTCTTGCTCTCTTCTTCTTTCCAATCATGATGATTTTAGAGGGTGTGAGAAATGTGCGTGTGCATGTGACTGTTACCCACGCGCCACCGATGCGGCTCATTGTGTTATTCTCCGGTACCTCAAATTAGATGCACTGGCGTACTCTTACCTGTTTGCTTTAACTGAAATGTTTATTTTAGTTTTTCAATTATTGAGTTTTCTTTCTATTATTGTAAAACTTGGGAAATGACGACCTTGAATATACGCACGCCTGTCTGATCTGATTCCAACTTCTTTCTCATTATATAGCAACATTTCCACAGATCTAATGATAGGGGCATTGAATTTTTCCTTGCATTATTTGCCATTACTTGGCTATTTTTCTTCACAATACTGGGTGCTCTAAAATTTTTTGCACTTCAGTGATACTCTAAGTGGATCATTTTCTACCATTTGAATTCACATATAAAATTATTTTATTGAAAAAAATGGACTGAAAAGTGGCTAAGTCTCGAGTTACTTTCTCTTTATTTCTTAGATCTAGTGACGAATGCAGCTCTCGATTTCTCTAGCGCGGGAACTAATTACGTCCTAGCCATAGAGGTGCATTAAAATTTTGTACGATTGTATTTTGTTTATTTTTTCTTTTTTTTTTTTCAATTTATAAAACAGTTAATGATTCTTTTCTTTTTGTGAGAATCATTCTTATAAACAAAGTTATATAGCTTGAACATTGAAATGGACATATGATATTCAATTATGTGCATGGATTTGTGACCCGTGCCAAACTTAATTACTTATGCATACTTTTTTTGTAGAGTAGTGACACAATTCCAATCCAAAGTTGGATTCAAATGGTCTAAAGTAAAAAAAAAATTTACTAATCACTATACAATTACTAGTTGGTACTCCCCATGTGTGTGATATAAGAAAAGTAAAATCTGTATCGTAAGAGTTGTTATGGAATTCAGTTGTCGGTGTTCGAGCGTAATGTCCTTTATTCACTTCCAATGAAGAGGCCGCCTCCTCGCTGGTGCCTGCCTGCCTGCTGCCACTGCTGATTTCACGTTGGACCGCACATACATACATATCTGCTATACATTTTAAATATCTAATTTCTTCAAAAGGGTTTTGTGGGTCTCGATCCTGAATTAATATAATCGATCATCACATCTTTCTTGGTTTCAATCCTATTGTCATTTTGGATAATTGAACGTGAATTTGTATTATTGAATAGAGAGACACAATTATATATTAAGATTAGTGAAGTAGTACAAAATTTTGAAATGGGAGGCACATGATGGTCGTCAAAGAGTCTTAAATTTAGCATTAATTCTGCAGTTAATTTATTGGGCTTGTTCAGTGGATTGTCTCCTTATAATAAAAGAATATAAAAATGTGGGGATCCTGTAATCCGGCATTGGTAGTAGAACGTGCCCGTGAACTGTCAATTCTCTGATCAGATTCCCAATTAGCCTGTGATCTTATCGTATATGCCTCGTCACACGTACATTTTGAATATGGTATTTATATACATATGCACAGATACACGTATGTATAATACGTAATATTAATTAAGACTGAAAATTACATTACCATTCCAAAATTCAGATTTAAAATTTGTTTATACAAAAATCTCAATATCAATAATAATAATAATATTATACAACTAAATTAATTTATATATCAACCCTGCATCCATCCATCCACCCCACATATACAATAATAATATTTGGTTGGGGTGCTGTGTGCGGTGGTAGGGTTGGGTGCGCTGGTGATGTGCTGTAGTGGTATGCAGTGCGGTGGTGGTTGTGCAGTGGTGTTGACTAGTGGTTGGGTATGGTGCTTTGTGCGATAGTGTTGGCTCTAGTGGGTGTGTGCTGTTGACTAGTTGTGGTGAGTTGATGGGGGTGGCTTTGGCGGTGGTGTTTGACAGTGGTGTTGTATATGGTGCGATGGTGAGGTGATGGTCATAAATGATAGTGGTGTCCACAAATTATTTGGTTGATTGTGATCAATAAATTAATTAATTAATTTATAACCAATAAATAATATGTAATCAATTATTTGAGTTTATGACCAATAAATTGAATATTTTGTGACCTAAAAATAATATGTGAACGAACTTTTGATCAATAAATAATGTGACCTCAAAATTTAAATTGTGACTTATAAAATTTGTCATTTGTGACTGATAAATAAATTGTGACTTATAATTTTTTTTATTTGTGATCATTGAATAGATTATGACTTGAAAATTGTTGATTTGTGACCGCGAAATGATTTGTAACCAATAAAATTTTTTATCCGTGATCAATTAATTCGATAATTTATGATCAAACAGAATAGAATTGTGATCTTAATATATTTAATTAATAAAATATATTTCTAATTAATTATTTCATAAGTAAAATTTAATTAATATCTGATTTTTAAAATTTCGAACTTTGTTTCTTAATTTTAAAATGGATCATTTCTAATCTTTTACACATAAAAATTTCCCCTAGTTAAAATAGGGTGGCTATAGGAGTGCAGGGGTGTGGTTAGGTCCGTTAGGCCCGCAGATATATGGTTTGAATTATTCTGTCTGTGAACTATTCCAACCCAAATCGTCCATTAGGTCTATAGCTGGTCAGGTCACAGTGAAATCGCTTATTTGGGGTTTAAATTGTGTCAAATCATCGTAAAGAGAAACAACAGCACGATGTTTTATGCTTAATTTTGCTTACAAAATGCTCGACATTGGCGTAGGTAGGTTTCTTTATTCTGTTGGGGCCAAAATATAATTTAGTCATTAGATAACATATGTTTTGAATGCGACTTGTTATTTTTATATTTTTTTGTTACACCATTGATCTTCGATCGTTTTCTCAATTTGGCCGTAGACCGTCCTCGAATGACTAAGTTCTCTTTCTCCATCAATTTTGGGATACCTATTTTGGGAAGTTTTCTTGTATTGTCGAGCATCAATCAACAAAGGTAATTGCCCAAATCGAATCACGCCAACGTTATGAAAGTTCTGAAATTGTGTAAGTTAAGAGTAGCACCTTATATAACGAATATAAAGAATGGAGAATTCACGTCACACTACAACTCAAGAACAAGAACTTAATATGTGTTGTTTCCTCTTCAAATCGAGTGTAGCCATGTTTTTCATGGTCGACTAACCCTTTTCAATTTGATAAAGCTTGTTTGATTATCTTGCCACGTCAAACGAGTGAATTTTACCGTAGTAAATGAATTGAGATTCATCCAAGTTGCGCTGCATCAGCATAAATTATCTATAGTATAGACTATTGGCTATGGAGCCTATTGCCCAATCTATATTTTGTCCTTAAGCTTTTGTTTTACACGTTGTTTTTTCCAATGCTTGGTTCTACATCATATTTACACCACCTCTTCATCTTGTCAATTTCTACTTCAACTGGGCTTTGACGTACAGCTCTTCCCGTCCATACGATTCAAAATGAATCATTTTTCCTCTTCCGAGGATTCTCTGCCGTCCATTTCGTAACACTGTTCCACTACACCAACCGTTGCGATTATTGGGAACAATTGCAAATCTGCAACGTCTCGATTCATAGTTCCGAATTCTGACACTGTTTATGTATCTATTTACGTCAACATACTGTTCTTTTATTGATGGGAGTCATCGCCTGGACTGACTGGACTCCGGTGGTGTTAATCGCTCAAAAATGGTGGCACTGATCAACCTTTTGTCAACCGCGGACCATTTATTAATTAGACACACGAAGATATGTTTGATACACAAAATAAACACGTTTATTTTTTTCAACGAATCGCTTCTCAAATTTTTTTTTTTTTATCAAATAATGAAATAAGCACTTAATTTAATTTGGTGGTCTTGGATATTATCTCTACCTAGCAAAATAAGTATTATGCTACTTGTCTTTAGGTCCGGTGATAGGTGTCTATTGATATCTTTACCTACCAAGTTATTCCGTCCGATTTCATTGCATTGAATTGTCCAATGTGTAGAAGGCCCAATTAATAGGCATGTGTAGAAAGTGATTATAAAAGAACTTTGTTATAATCAACTAGAGGTGTAACCAAAGGTTAAACAATATTACATGTCCCAAATGTCTCGTAAATGGGGCGGTGATAGGGAACAATGTCCCTGCCCCAACTCGTTTCCATCCCTAGGAGGCCAAATCATTTACTACCATTTAATTTAAACATATTGTGACCATCAACAATCTCTAGATGAATAACACTATTTTTTAATGTATGATTGTGTTTAGTATAAAACAGCGTCCTAAAAAGCGTGCATAGACGGCGCCTAGGCGAGAAGCGTGATGAAAACACTCCGCCTTGAGCCTAAGCGGTAATTAAGCGATCAACGACAATGTTGACCGCTTCATGCTCGTCTAGGCGTTCTTTGGCGCGCCTAGTTATTAGGGACACCTAGGCACGCCGACACGCCTTCGCCTAGGATTTTTTTTTTTTTTTTGGCACACCAAGAAAAAGGAATAGAGTTGACACTACGAAAATGAACAATCTTGTTTATGTCCAATTTTATGCAGGTTGATGAACAAGAAGAAGAGTAATGCCAAAATAGAGATTTTACTAGCAATGTAGGAATTATTAACTAAATACTGTATTTTATAATTTTAGATGTTCAGTATGTATTATTTGAATTATTGAATTTTTTTATAATGATTAAAAATTTAAAATAAAAAATGTAAAACATGAAACTTGGCCTCTACACCTAATCGCGTTTTACGTTTTTTAGAACACTGGTATAAAAAAAAGTAATTTGACCTAAACTCACATACTGCGTTTACAAAAGAGCGGTGAGAGAAATTAATTAATTCTGATAATTTAGTATTAAATTTGTGATGAGAGAAACTGTAAATGTAATTATAGTTATATGTTTAAATTATGCCATATCCCAAATTGATTACATAACATAAATTATGCAAATATATTCATGAGCAACTTCTTAATCTCAAAAAAACTTTTTAACTTATCAAAAACTAGGTCAAAGGGGCACTTATTCATAATATTCCCAAGAACATGTGTGTCCGATTTTTCATACTATTGTATTATCTACATGAAATGTGGCTACAGATTGTGTTTGTCTGGAGTCGAAATTTGCTTTCTTCAATGCCGATTCTCATAATGTGCGAAGTTGCTATTTACTCCTACATAATTATGTTTTAATGTGTCAAAATATGAGTGAGACAATCTCGATATTAGAAGATTTATTTATAATATTTTAATGTTAAATTTTCACTCACTATCACCCAGGGGCGGAGGCCCATTAGGTCCAGTGCAGGCAAATGCCCGCACTGAACTTTTTGGGCCAGAATTTTTTTGTTTTGGGCCAGATTTTTTTTAAAGGGAACCCAAGTCCCAGCCCAATCCTTGTCAGCCCCAAGCCCAATAGCAAAACAACCCTTCTTCTCATTCATTTGGAAATGGGGCAAAATCAATTTTCAATTTCAAGCTCCTCTTCATCGTTCGCCCTTCGCCCGTTCTCCTTTCGCCGCCTCTTCATTTCTCTAGCCCGTCGCTCGTTCTCCCGTCCCCGCCTCCAGTCCGCCCCTCTTCTCCTCTTCTTCCAGCCGCTTTAACTGTATTCTGTCCGTGTTTCTTTCTCTGAATCTCTTTGGACTTTGTTCGGCTCTTCGACTTCGCCCCTGTCTGTTCGAGCTTCAAGCTTTGTTCGACACTTCGAGGTTCGAGCTGCAGCAGAAGAACTGAAGAAGAAGCCAAGAAGGTGAATAATGTTTGTTATTTTGCAATTTTTTTTTCTGTTATTTTAATTTGTATAATCTTTCAAGTAACAATGTTTGTTTTTTTTCTCTTTAACATGTGAAATTAGGACTTTGATGTTCAATTGCTGGACAATTCCAAACAGACATTCCAGACGTCAAGTTCATTGCTGGCTTGCACTTGCAGCTTGCTGCCTTTGCCTCTGTGAGTGTGAGTTATTTTAATTTGTAACTAGAAATTGAAATTGTGTATTGCATTGTGAATTGAGTATACTATTGCCCTGGGAAATGAAATTTGAATAAATGAATTGCTAATAGTGAATCAGTGATGCTGTTGTCAATCTTGATCATGAATTGCTTGTCATCTGGTTCATATGGATCAAACAGGATTGATTGATTTGTTTTCTGATGTTGTTGTTGGGGTGTGTTGGTTAGCCAGCTCTGGCAACTTAAGAGTATCATTAATTTACATCTGAATGTGTAGTTGCTGGCTATTTTGATACTTTCCCAGGATGACTTGAACATTTAATTTTGGAGGACATTATCTAAATCTTGTATTTATTATGTGTTCAGCTAGGCATTGCATAATTAGTGACCTTAGATCTTCATACTCCTCTGTAACTAACATTCTTGCTGTACTTTAATTCAAATGCCAAGTAGGTGTGATGAAGTGTACACATGCCCATTTCATCGAGAAACATTAGTTGATGAAACCTATAATAACTTAATAGTCTTGCGTATTTAAATTGACCAAAAACTCAACGACGTTCGGCGTCGAAGAAAAAATGCCCGCACTGAATATTAACCCTGGCTCCGCCCCTGGATAGTGGTTGGAAACTTGGACGTGCTTCCACACCCCAAGGATCTCCCACGACCAATTGTGGTTTAGGGCTATGTGGTGTCAATTTGGTCATCGTGAACCTTGGAATGTGAATGGTGCGGGGATACTATTTTTAGGTGTGGGACGGGGTTCAAAAGGACATGACTTTTAAATTTTTCTCATGTTTTATTTTCCTTTTTTTTCATTTAAAGTGGATGGCAAATTCTTTAAACTAACGTGAGGTAATTACGCCATTGGTCACTAAAATTTTGAGTAATTAAGCCAATGGTCATTGAAGTAATTTTTTACGATAAAAGTCAATCAAGTTTTAGATTTTACACCGATGGTCACTCAGTCAAAACATTAACATTAAATCTTTCTGGATACCATTAAGTGCTACCATGTAATCAAATGATATTTCATTTGTTGCGTCAAGTTAGTAAAATCAGGGAGTTAGGAATTGACGATTAAACGTTTAAGATAAGAAAATGAAATGTGGGTTTAGTTTTAGTTAGATTTTTTGACTTAAATTATATAGTGAACCCTCGCACTTTTTTAAACAATTATTTTTGCTGACCGGCTTAATATATAACATTATTTGGAGACATTGACACTTAACGGTTCCGGATAAGATTTAATGTTAATTTTTTGGTCGAATGACTATTAATATAACATTTAAAAACTTGAATGACTATTATCGTAAAAAATAAAAACTCTAGTGATCATTGTCATAGTTAACTCTTTAATCCTTAAATTTCTTAGATAGAAATTATTGGAAGGAACGAACCAACCTAATTAATGAGAGAGAGATTCGAATTGTCGCATGTTGAAAAAATGTTGGAGACAAGATTGCTTAAATGTTGGTCAGTGAATGTAACTGCTCCAATTAAATTTATCGGTACCTATCTTAAAATAAGAAGTCAGTAACCCATCTACACATTGCAAGAAATTGAACCTAGTGTACATTTTGCATAGTATTGTACTGAAAAAAATAAAAAATAAAAAATAATTATTATATTTTGGTACGGTCAAGCTTAATTCCGATGGTTGTCTAAATGGAGCATGTTCTTGCCAAGAAGCTGAGATGAAATCTTTAAGTGCTGACTCCATTTTCTGGGCAGAGATAGACTTAGTGACCACTATCCAATTGATTAAAAAGAAGGCAAACAGACCTTGGGTTGTGCAATAAAAGTTAGAAGAAATTCGCTACAGGCAAAGTAAACTTGAAATCTCATTTTCCCATGTGTGTCGTGAAGGTAATATGGTAGCGGATTGGTTAGCTATTTCGGGTTTTAAAGAGAATATTTTAGGGTTTTAAAGGCTCAAGAACTAAACGGAGTAGTCAAGGGGTTATTGAGACTTGATAAATGGG